AAGTTTGTCTTCGATTAGAATAATGATCGTGTATTTATTGCCTTGTATTGAAATCTTACGAATCAGAATCAGTATTGTAAGTGTTTTCAAATCAAACAAGTCTATGAAACGTTTGAAAATGAAGAGGAAAGAAATAGTTTTGATTGTTAATTCGACGCCGATATGCGTTTTAATTGAATATGGATTATCTGTGGGTATCATGGCAAAACTACGACTAATCCTACAAGCGTGTCTTTTGTTTATATCCTGACCGTTTCTAAATAGTACTAAAAAATAAAATTATAGGAGGCCTGTTGGATATTTTTGCAATGTTTTACCCTCGCCCATCGTGATCTACCGTTATCGGGTTAAAGTATTTACTTCCTAGGCCTGTCTTTCTCGCCCTAATTCCTCCTTGTGATATGTAGGATCATACCTGTGTATATGAAAGCAGCATCACTATGATTTATCTATATACCGTAAGCGCGACGGTGATATTAAACTAACACATGTATATAACAACAGTTGGAAACTTTGTAAATGTGGACGCAAAGATGAAGAATAGAACAATGAACGAAAAAAGTCACGAATAAATCAAACCTTATGCGATTTATTTGGAAAAAAGAGAAAAAAAAATAGTTTTGCTTAAATGTGTTTCATAATATGTGAGATATGTGTGAACACTCGTGTATGTTGGTGCGCGCAACGAACTTCGGAATAATTCGAGCATTATTATGATTAAAACGGTATTTACTGACAATGGAACATATTCGCTTATATTTCGTCGCTTTCAATTTAAATCTCGACCTCGAGAAAAAATAAAATTACACAAATTTCATAATAGAGAATATCCAAAAGAGAGAATAACCTAATATGTTCCTTTGTAAGTAAGAAGATCAATGAGGTGCATATTTCTTATTTACAAGCCGACTTTTCACTTGTTCAACTTTGTTTCCTACTCGAGCGCATATAACTCGTTAATTATCATTTTTTCCTATTATATTTTGACTATGTACACTATGTGTGTATATGTGTCTTTGCGTTTGCGTTAGTGTTTGCTTGCGTGTACCCAATTGGTCACTCGGAATGCTTAAGAAACGCGTTTTCGCGTTTCCAAACCAATAAGCCATCCTCTTATTTAGAATTCGTCGAGAATCTTACATTTCTTATTATCATATTTTCTTATTTTCTTACTTTTTCTTTTTTATGAAATCCTTGTAACGAGATTTGATATAATAATAATGCCTCTATCCGTTTAGATATACCTATATACATATTATATAATAGTAAATCTACCACGTGCTTGTTATTATTATCCGTTTAAGATCATCGAAATGAATTAGATGAAAAATATGACTTTTATTGGTTTGTTACGGTGAATGGATAATCTACAATCGTCGCCGCGTTCGATGACTCGAAGAATTCGATTAACGAATTTTCCCATTTGTTTGCCTATGCTATTATGTTCGTATAATTCTTCGATTTGTCGGAAGAATGATGGAAGAGCAACGTAAATCATAGCTAACGATAAGAATCGTCCCAAAGTTTAGAAAGGAACTTGGAAATCGAATACGATTCGTCCGGTGTTATTTCGGAAAAACATTTATTATAGCAAATCCGTGCTTTTTGGATTTTGTACTCTTCTACGCGCGTATAATAGGCTCCCTGTTATTTATAAAATAACGATTATATTATATACGTCAAGTTTGACAAATGTTCTATCCGTTATTCGGCTGCGACCAATTCGATTTGCCTTTTGCACGATATTATTTTTCTCTTCTACGCATATTACAAGATAAATAGAATAAATCTAATATAATATAAAGTTGGCGACGATTCCGATGGTTTTGAGAAAAGGATCGAAACTATGCGTACGATTATTATAGAAACGTCAAGATTTTGTCTAAAATTATAATTGTTTACGCATGAATCAACGTATGCTGGATCAACGCGCGGAAGAAGTACCTAGAAAAGGTATGTTTCCATTCTAACTTATATAGAATAATCATTGCAAAACTTTTCCTTTTTCCCCTTCTCCCTCTCGGTGAATTGTTCTTTCCTTAGAAACTCTTCAATATGACAAATGTGGTCCATCGAATAGGTGTATGTATGTACGTACGTATGTATAAGTTATATAGTCATAAAACTCGACGACGCCAAAAGCCTGGCTTCGTGACTGTATTTGAACACTCGTGTTGTTGAATAATGTAACGATATAAAAATAGAGAGCAAATGTAATGCTGGACCGCGTATCTTTGCGTGTATGACGGTGTAGAAAGGTATGTAATATGGTTGCATTATAGTTTCAATGAATGAAATGTATAACGATTAGATACGAAAGAGTTAGCGATAACGAACAGTCTCTCGTATTATTTGTGCCCTTCCGATCAAATCGGATTTCGATCGTGTTTATATGCGCTTTTCATTTCTATTATACGAGTATAGTAAAACGCCAATGAAATTTTATATAACGGTATAAAAAAGATACGTTAAAAAATCCATTAATGTTACATTAGAGTAAGAAAACAAAGTGCGCGTAGATAAGTATATGTATACGTAGTAGACAAATTCTAGACGCAAGCAGCAGCCAGTCAGGAAACCAAGCCTTCGCGTCCCTTCAACGCGAAGGGATACGTTATTTCGTTATTAATCGAGATGCAACCCTTTTCTGCAATCACGCGCATAACCTAATAATTCAACCTAATAATAATGCACCTCTTTACCTATATGTCCTTCGTTTTGCAACTTTTGTCTATTATTTTCCTTATCTCTATAGTATTTTCTCGTGATTGCATCTCTCATTTTTGAAATCTCTTAGGATATAGAAACACGCAATGTGTACTCGTTTCGAAATGAATAGTAAGTAAGTAAGTAAAAAGATCAATACATACATACTTCCTTCGTTGTGAATACGCAGCGATCAACGATATTTCTTTGTACAATAAAGCCTTAGAATTTATTTATTATAGTATTACGAGCACTATCCTTCTTTCTTCCGTTTTTCCTCTCTTTCCTTCTTTATGAAATATATTATATTTCGAATTTTCTGCTTCCTCGTTCGCACTCGAACACAATAATATCCAATATCTCATCGTCCTTTGTCAAAAAAGAGAATCCTCTCTCGCTCGACGATTAGTATATTTTCGTATAAAGGAAAATAAATGAAAGATCGAAACGCCAATAATTTTTCCTTGGATTAATTAATATAGAATAACAATGCGAAATAATGAAAAATACGCTTCCGATCGAGAGGGGTAACGTCTTACAAACGAAAACAAAGATTCTCGAAGGAATATCTCTCTCTCTCTCTCTCTCTCTCTCTCTCTCTCTCTCTCTCTCTCTCTGTGGATCTTCATTTTATTTATATATTCATTTATTCATTTATTTATTTCTTCATAATCCATAAACTATGACGATTCGTAGATCGAGACCAAATTCGGTCCGCTTCTGTTAAAGTCGCGATTGCTCGAAGTAATAAGAAGGAGGAGAAATCATGTTTTTCCTTTTTTTTTCTTTTTTCTCTTTATTTCTCTTTTTTTTCTCTTTTTTTTTGTCCTTTTTCTTTTTTTCTATTGTTTTCCCATAAATTTGCGAGCCCCTAGTCAAATCCTAGATCCTGTCGAGCGACGCGTATCGGGCCTCCTTAAGTTTTAATAATTAATAGATATTAGGTATAACAACAGTCAAGTTATATAAAATTACGGCAGTGTGCTTTCACGTATAATAATTAATATTACTCGCTTGCTCTCTCTCTCTCTTCCCTTTTTGAACCTATACATTCGAATGATTTATTTTATTATTAAGAATAAAGTGAGGATATAGCGAGGAACGCTGGATACCATCATTTTTAGCATCGTTCGATATAACAAACTAGACAGTATTATTCAACGAAAATCTAATCGACCCTTCAATAAAATCAAATACACAATACTATAGGACAATACTATAGGAAAACGATTGGACACCGTTAAGAGAAATATCTTTCTAATTTAAGTAAAGAGATCGGTTGAAGAAAATATTTTCTATATGTGCCATCGTTTAAATGAAAAGAGTATTATTATTATTTTTCATTTGGTCACCGCAGATCATCGTTGATTCGCGAGATCAGAGTTATCAATTCCTATGTTTCCAACGAATAGAGAGTAATTTAACAATGGCCTATTTAACTTCCTCCCCTTTCTCGGGAGGAAATATAAATCCGTCCTGATAAATAATAATACGTAAGAATGAACTTGGGAGAGAAGATGTAAATGATGCGATGGCAAAATATGTTCTGTATCCACCGAAATAGAGGGGCAAAATATTAAGTACCCGGCATTTCCTCGCTCACGCAAGTAGAAAAAACGATAGGCAGTCATACGATTGGATGAGGGCTGGGCTTTATTTTGTTTAGGGAGGACTTATGGGGTTGAAGGGGGGCACCTATCGATGCGAATAAATTTATGCGCATTAATGATAGACTCATTGCCAACCTATACAATGTTTTCTGACTCTACGCGCATTCGGAGAGAGTATTCATTCTCCGTATCATCGTTAAACTACCCTTAGCGGGAGAAAAAAACAACCGTTTTTTCTCTGTACCGACAGAGAAAAATGCTACGGTAATAGGGGATATATGTATCCTGCGTACTCTTCCCGTTTTCTTTAAGTTTATACATAATATTATATATTTCAGTGCTTTATCCCGTACGAACAAGGACACGAGCGAACAATAGATACTACCTACAATATAACTACGTATCGTTTAACGAGTACGAACTTTTTTTATAACTTATTTACTATGCAATTTACGATGCCAAATAGGTTTCATTTTGGAGATCCTTTTTTTTTTTTCTTTTTTTTTTTTCACTTTTTATCTATATCTATCACTCAGCCGCTCATCCGCTCATTCTCTCTCCCACTCTCGCTCTCTACTTGTCTTTTTTCTTTTTTTTCTTTTTTTATATACTTTTACAATTTTAAATAAACGATAATACTGGCTATTTTTTCATTTTTTTTACCTTTAAAATTATATATATAATATATATGTTATATGTATATGTGTATGTAAATATTATTTAATCGGAGCGATTTACTCGTAATTATTATCGTTTTTTGAATGAGTTTTCACACACGTTGCATCGCTTTTTATCTTCTATATCGTTTATTTCGTATTCCACTATTTATCGTGAACATTTTTGCATAGAACGCGTCGCGATATTACCGATGGTGATCTTTTCTATGGTGTTTGCGTGTAGGTGTGTCTGTGTGTGTGTGTGTATATATATATATATATATATATATATATATGTGCGATGCAGGCACGTTTGCCCACGCTTTTGGCTGATTCTTTCGTATTTTTTTATTTTCAAATTTCTCATCCTTGTGATATAGCATGCGCAGGCGTAACCCTTTCGATATCTCTGTAGCGGCCCTTTTTTATATTATTTTTCTTATTTAGTATGTATATATTTGTTATTTTCATTATTTATAATATGTATATATATATTGTTAGCAGTTGTCTGTTTCTTGTTTGTATACGAGGGCTAACACTATAACGCTACAAGTAATAATTTTTTTATCAAAAGCACATGTATATTGTGACTAGTCTACATATGTATATATAACATGTGTATAATAGTATATTGTATATAAACCGACCATATTATGTATGTCACATTATTTTATTATTTCTTTTTGCGTACACTTTTTCCTAGGATGTCTGCAGACGAGTATATGTTTATGTAAGGGTGTGCGTCTGTCAGTCTGTCTGTCTGCCTGTCTGTCTGGGTTTATTTGCATATATACCTATCGTAATGGGTGGCTGCAGTGGGGAAATTGTGCATTCCTCACATTGTGATTAATCATTTATTTCGTGCTTTATCGAACTCGTTGTCGTCGAGGCAACTTTTGCAAATTTTGGTTGACGCACGCGTGCGAAGATAAAAAGAAACGACCGGCGCTCGCGGCCTATTGCAGCCCATATTTTGGATATATTGAAAAAATTTATCGAACAGAGCCTCCCGACGATCTTTAGTTTTCCGTTGCTCGTGTCGTCGAAATGATTTCTTTTCTGTCGATAATAGAATTGCGATTTAACGAAAAAAATGAGAGACCAACAACGAAATCAAACGAATATCGTGAAGGTAAAGAAAAGAATCGACTATTATAATTAAAAATAAATGTCTATCTCGTGAAATACGACGAAAGAATTACGTAAGTTTTAAACAACCTACATTTTTTTTCTGTGTCTCCATTTATTTCTAGTTTATCAGTTATTTTCAAATCGATAGGCATACATACTTTAATAAGCTTCGCTTCTCGCTCGAAATATTTTCATTTCCCATTAGCAGCTCTCTTCGATCGATTTATCTATTTATTTATTTATTATTACAATAGAGAGATCACGCTTAACTGCATGAATTTCGAGAAAAGTTTCCTCCTATCGAGCTAGGAACGTCGGTTTCATTCATTGTCAATTGGGAAAGAATATTCGCGATGGTCCCACAGCATTTTCTTCAGCATTTTCAAATTGCTTTGACGATCGTCTAATTCGTCGTCGGGTATCCTATCTCGATCTCAACTCATAATACTTATAAATATGAAATAATAGAAATATTCAGAAATATCCGGTGAGAAATGATAACTCGTCCAATCAATATCGACGTCCATTGTAATTATGACGTTGGTACGCATTGCGCAGTGTACCGAATAATTTCTTATTTTATCATAGGATTCTACGCTAACTCGTAAATCGATTCTAATATCGCACGTGTCTTTTTCATTCTTTCAAATGATTTGATCTTATTATATTGAACGCGTGTAACAAATTGCATTTACTTAGAGTCGTTACGAAGCTACAAACGAAAAGTAGATTCAAGGGAAAGAGGATGGATATTTGTTAGGCAACGTGCGATCGCGAATCGGTTGAAGAGACCATCGACGAGGGAAAGACGATCGTCGAAACCGTCGTCGACTCGCGAATCGAAAGCCCACAATCGAAAGCCCAGAAAAGATCGCCACGGTGTTCTTTTATTTCAATTTGTATTTGTAGTCTATCATAAGAAGCATGACTCTTTTATTCTTTCTCTCTCTCTATCGCATTGATTCTTTTTACTCACTGTGCGCCACACCTCCTCTTGAAGCCACAATTATTGGCTCGTCGTTTCGGGAAGTAGTAGTAGTAATTGTTGTTGGTGCTGACGATCGTCGTCGCTTGCCTCGACGTCTCCTTCGACATCTTTTTCGGGCTCTTCTCCGATATGGCCTTCTTCCGTGTCGAGGCTGCTCGCAGGCGTGATCTGTTCGTTCGCGGGACCGGTTGTCGTTTCTCCGGTTGTCGGTTCTCCGGCTCTCGGTTCTCCGGCTCTCGGTTCTCCGGCTCTCGGTTCTCCGGCTTTCGGTTCTCCGGTTGTCGCTTCTCCGACCTTCTCAAATCCCAAACCCCCCAGAAGGTTCTTGTCAATCGGCTCCGGCGAGGCTTCCGAGTCCTCGCTGCTAGGTGAACCGGGAGACGAGACTATCACCTACGCAATCGCCCCCGAAAATGTTTCTCTTATTTCATTATCTTTCCATCCATTTTCCCTTCCTCAAAAGAGACCGATTTCGATATCCGAACATTTCATCTTTCATTGATCACGGCTCGGTCTCCTTTCTGATTTTCACTTTCCACCAAAATATTTCTCTTTTCAATATTTTGCAATCTAATATATATGTGGTACGTTTCGTTCAAATAATAGAATTCAATTGAACAACTCTAGATCGGAGAAAACTAATAACGTCAAAAATGAAAATTATCCTCTCCTTGCAAAGGAGTCTACGTTTATTCGAAAAGAGTATATCGTTGCAATCTTTTTATCAAAAGGAACAAGATAAAAGAAAAAATGGCAGAAGATTGAACTGCCAAGTGTTTAGAATAATAACAAATCCTTGAAATTTCGTTCTAAGGTTCCAATTGTATAAAATCGGTAATGGAGCAATCGATTGATATTTCGTAGATAGCAAAGAATCGATGGGACGAGCGCTCTTCGCTTAACACATCTTTTAGTGCATTTCAATTGAGGATAGCTGTGCTTTTAGGATTTGCATTTTATGCGATTTATGCGAAAGTGAGTTGCGCAAAGTCGATCGATTCTCCGACATCTGAAGTGAGCCATGCACGTGACAGTAAAGTAATTAGCGGATGAATGTGAATGAAAATGATGATGATGGTGGTAATGATAATGACAATAACAACAACGCGATAACAACAACGACAATAATAGTAATAATAATAATAATAATAATAATAATAATAATAATAATAATAATAATAATAATAATAATGGTAATGATAATAATAATGATAATAATAATAATACCTGTGCAAGAAGCGGCGTCTCTGTACTGTTAGCGGTTTGGTAGAGCCGGCAATTTGCGCTTGCTCTGAAGAATACGTGCCCAAACGAAAAAAGATAAAGAAGACAACGTAAATCGTCACTATAATCGAAAACGCGCGTCGAAACTATAGACGCAAACGGAAATCATAGAGTGTCGCGCGACAAATAGATATTTTTCTTTTTATGCGGACACAACTGACTCGTACAGAACTGACATCGAGACATGCACGAAGGTATTTTGCATAAACACGTAAGGTATGCAAAATAAATCAGTGAAGTTCGCGAAAAATGTTATGCGAGTGATTCCTTACGAATGATGTATACTTTGGTGCGCAGCAGCTAAATAAATGTGAGTATAGAACATTTTGCAAAGCGAGTGATTCAAAATATGTATACATGTATATAATATGTAGACATATGTAGACATATGTACAATAGTTTAAGTCCATTCGTCTCATCGGATAGATATTTACACGATAGTTTAGCCTACATGAATTAGTGTACAAGAAATGTATCGAACGGCATATAACGTTCGCATGCGCGCTAAACAATATGAGAACAACACAGCGAGATAAGAAAAGAGAGCGAAAGGAGTAATAGCGTGTATAGAAAGATCATTGGTAATTATCGTGCTACTGCGCTCCAAACAGATTGCGAATCGTCGAGACAAATGACCGACAACAGGAAATCGCCCAATGATCGAAAACATTTATTTTTCGACAAAGTGCACGCTTAATACGATAATGAAATGACTTGTCTTTCTTTAAACGCTAAATGTGATTCAACATTTATTCGAATCTTCATTATTTCGGATAATATTCGTAATGCGTTTGCGCAGCTGATTTACGGAGCTGATTTGCGGAGCTGATTTACGGAGTTGATTCAGTGCCAGAAAATCGACCTTTTTTTCGTTTTCTCTTTTTTTTTTTTCCCCTTTTTTACTAGGTACTAGTATTCAAACAGGATTAACATTTATTACAGCCGAACACATCGAAGTTAATTGTCTGTGCAACGCACCTGTCGAGGCTTGATTGGTGGCGGTGGAGGAGGACGAATGGAGGGTGCGAGGGCTTCGGCTGTTGTAGTTTGGGGTGGACGATGAAGTGAGGGTAGCTGCTGCCAAAGCAGCCCTGTTCGTCCCAATGTTCCCTGTACCTGTTGCTGAACCTGCTGCTGCTGCTGCTGTTGATGATGATGTTGTTCCACTTGTTGCTGATTGTTGCTGTGCTCGATTGCTGGCGTAACTCGAGGAAGCGCTGAACCGACTGAAGAAGTCTTCCGAACTGTCTGTGAAATGAGTGTCTGATTACTCGGCCCTTATTCGTCCTATTGCTAAATTTCAACAATATATCGTGGATTAAGAGAAAATAATTGATAACGAATAAAAGTAAATGATATCATTACCTGACTTAATTGGCCATATTTCCAAAAGATATTTCAATACGGCAATCGGCTGTTGGAAATCTAACGGTGGACTACTTTCTTCGGAGTGTAACATAAGTACTGGTCCAAAACAGACAGCCAAACTTGCTGGTGACATTTTGTTACATTGAGAAACGACCATTGCCAAGTGGTCCAACAAGTAAATTAAAGTACACTGCAATCGAGACATGTATAATTGTTTTAGATGATTACAAATAAAATACTACATTATACGTATAAGCAAGATGATCCTGTTGACTTATCGATGATAGATGTACTTACTCTGTTAACTTTAGGTAAGCAATCCAATATACTGAACATAAGCTTAGCGTTGCCTTGCGGATCGTCGGGCAAACAAACGGCCAACGCATCAACCATCATTTGATAAAGACATTTAGTAAATAACGGTTCCGGAAGTTCTCGTAAGTAATCTTTCAATACACCTATATACGGGGAACAACGGATTTGTTTAATCCATAACATTGTTGTGTGCTCTCGATTAAATAAAGATTATTGTAGAAACTTACCGGTAATAACGTTTATATCTGGTACATTGTCAGGTGACAGATTGACCGATCGTGCATTTCGTTCAAAGGCTTCTCTTAATATTCTCTTTTTACTTGCCGACCCGCAAAGTCTGTATAAACCTGTATAACGTATAGATTATTCGGAATGTGTTTCTATAGAAGATCTTGATCGTTTATTCGGAAAATTCATGTATGCACCACGGACCTATAATATCGAGGCCTCTCCTTTCGACTTCCTCGACGCATCGCCAAACAATTATTGGTACATTTGGAACTCCCATTGCTAGTGCCGTGGAAACACCACCAGGAACTCCTCCAGTCTTTGACTCTCGACTAACCTGTTATATGGAAATCCGATTGAATATAGAGCTCTTTATCGTGATAATTAGGGCATCATAATGAAACTTACAACGGTATCGAGATCAACTCCGAACAAGGGCGCTACACGAGTAGCAAGGGATATAACTGGTAATCCCCTGCGCCTAAAGGTTTGCTGAGCATCGGTATATCGCAGTCTTAAATAGATTGTACCTCGAGGTTCGACTTTAACGGCCAACTGATGGACCGCCGCTTCTTTCAGCAGAGTCGCCAAGTGTACGGATCCTTTGTAACAGAGTTTGTGCCGGTATTGTGGGTCCCAAGAATAAACGAGCAGATCCAGCTGCCGATTTCCTACGAGATCCAGCTCGAAGGTTTCGTCCCAATCGAACATCAAATCACCCGTTCTTACGACGGTTCGTGCTTTGTGTACTCTGTCGCATTCCAGTACGCAATATAAGTCTCTCAGGCCACAACTAGCTGTTAACAACCGATCAATAATATGCGTATATTACGCGGAAACGTGTATAGTGTCGTGCATTAGCAATAAATCGTACCTAAATTAGGCTGACCCGATGGCGTCGAGGGTGTAGTTGCTGCCGAGGAGGTTGTAGTCGAACGAAGCCCACGGCCTGCCAATAGGTGTACCCAGAGCAATCCACTGACCCCACCTGCCAGATCACCACCGCTGGTTTCTCCGAGCGAACTCAAAAGGGAACTGGTCGAGCTCGGAGTACCCACCGTCGGTGGCTTTTCTATCTTATACTTGAGGAACTCTACAAAAATGTCTGAATAATATCGCGAAGAGTAGGCAATAATTGCGTTAGTAATCGCTCACCTGCAGGATTAATATCTAGCAGTCTTTGATCCTGAGTTCTGGTAGGTGTGGGGGTCGGTATACTTCTCGTTGATTCGAGGTCTAATAAGTTTCTAATTCTTCTAACAGACGTAGCTCTTTGACTCGCGGAGCTTCCTAACGACGGCTTTTGACTGGTCAAGGAGGTACGTGCGCTTGTAGCCACCGATGCCGGCCTAGGATTGCTTGTACCCCCCCGATGACACGTCGAGCTAATCGCCGTCGATGCTCTTAAATTTGCTAAATTAACTTGTTGCGCCGATGCGGATCTCGTCGAGAGTCGATCCAACGTACTCGAAAGTGGCCTGTACGCTCCGTAACTACCATAATCGGCCTGCGATATAGATTAACGATAAGACAACAAACAAAGCTTTGCATTACTACTTATATCAAATAATTTACTTGATTGGCAGCTGCGTGAATATTTTCGGCGCTATAGGTATAACGCGGTGGTCGGTTCGTGGTTGCTCTGATTTGTTCGTACAGTGCACTCGTGCTAGGCGTTCTGCTCAGCCAGGCTCGATATTCGTCGGAAGTGAATACGCTAGGCGACGATGGTATCCTACCTGCATAGGATAATACGAATTACGTTAATATCCAAGATCCTATCCTTTTTATTTATTTCATTTCCTACAAATTACCCCTATCCCGTCTAATCGAAGGCAATTCTGGAGCCGATAAAGCACCGTCGCTGTCTTCCTGATCTATCAATCCCGATGCTACAGTACTGAGACCTGACCTTATACCTGGCTGTTGCGGCAACGTTCTACCACTTCGAGGTAAAGAGTTTGATCTTAATCCTATAGGAAAAGAACGATGGAAATGTATATATGTAAAGGAAAAGTAACGATCGTTAATAACTGAAAGATCAATTACCCGCCATACCCTGACCAATTTGCGATCTTGAAAGCGTAGCAAGATGCGATACGGCACTGCTGGATGGTGGATTATTCATGTTATGTCTATAATAATAGTAGGCAGATTTCGGTGAACTCGAACAGGTAGCCTCGGTGTCGGAAGCATAATCCAAAGATGGTCTGTGCCTCCTGGTTAGAGTACCAACTGGATTTCGTCTCGGTGTGATCGACGGTGTGTCAGCTTGCGTTCCGTATCTAGTGTTATATCGCAATGCCGATGTTCCTGTATAGAAAAGGTAACAGATAAAAGATAACATTCGATTGGTATCCTATAATAGTTTATGGACAATGAAAATAAATTCGATCTCGATATATACCTGATTTTAAACTCGACCTGAGAAGAGTATGACGAGCTGGCATCGTTATGCTCGCGTAATCGACGCGTGGCAAATGTTGATCCGAACCACTTCTGGGAATCATCCTTCCACTTCCGGTGTGCTGAGAATAACCATAATGAGACGACTGGGCTTGACCGGACAATCTTCCAGCTACCGATTGCATTCCGCCACCAGTGGACATTCGACGGCCGTCGTTCGAGGGCATTACTGGCCCGGTATAGAAGGAGTGTACCTATTTTTTAGTACTATGTTACATCTTATCTTATTACGTTACGTTATAAATTATTTATTGGCATTTATTTCGAGCCTCGGACTATCGTCAACTTGGAGACATTAAAGTCGAATAGATTGTCGATAAGAAAGGTTTCGACAATAGAGATGGAAGTAAAAATATATATATATATATATATATAGAAATGTGTATTGTGTCGACGAGATGATCGAGCTTCGATGTTTCCCATTGAACAATCTCATTGACATTATGATTGGTCCGCAAACGCTATGCGAGTACTTTGGTTGCATCAAATATATTTGCTTGTCCCATAAGTTTTTTCCGCGCCACGCAATGTATGACTTTGAGCGATCGATCAATCATATTGTCGAATGAATGAATAAACGTTTACGGATAGAATGACGTAAAAGATATATAATGAGATTCAAAATGCAGCATGAGAAATAAAATGATAGAAGGAATGCACAGCAAGCATATGTACGAGGCAACAAAAGAGAGAGAGAGAGAGAGAGAGAGAGAGAGTAGGGTTTACGTTACAAATATAGCGGTACCCGTACGCGACTTCTTTTTTTGTTTTATGTTATCTTTTATATTTTTATATTTGGGTTCGCGAGACAATGATCGCGACAAACGTATGCATCGTAATAATGAAAATGTATGGAAAATATAATATAGATATGTAAAATGAAATAATATGAGGGAAAGGAGGAGAATAATGTAAATGCCGATGCATACGTTTGTTAATGACAACAATGATCAAAGTGGAATAGTATATGGGTATGCAATACGAACGACTCGAATATGGAAGGAGCGCATCAGTACGCGCGTGTCGCGTACAGTACGAAAAATTGCACTTATACCTATACACAAGTCTAGATATGAAGAAAGAGTTAGTGTTGTCTTTACCTTCGTAAAATCCTGGTTAATTTCAATGTAGCATTCATTCATAGAACCGATTAGTTATATGAAAGACGACATCGAAAGACGACATCGAAAGACGAACGTCGTGTCGTAAAAAGATTCGACACTCCGTGCCGTTCGGAAATACATCGAGTTTTTATTTTGATAACATTAAAGAATCAAGCACAGACATAGAAGCGAAAGCTCTCGTCTCGTACAACCATGCAAAACATTATTTGTGTCTTATTTAACGACGTATGTATTTTAATGATGCATATCTCGCAATTAGATATTTATTACTTTTCAATTATCCGAAAGACTCGGAGATCGTGTAGCAATAAAAGTGCAATGATCACTCTGATTTCTATCGGAGAGTGTCTCGAGACAATATATTCAGAATTCACCACTTTCTTAATACTGTAGCGTTTATTGGAGATAGATAAGGGAAAACAAGTGTCAAATTGGTGCAGATAGGTGTATGAAAGGGTGCTCGATCCACATCGTCTAGAACATCTATGTATAGTATCTACACGTGACGTCAGATCGAGATTAATTATCGATTAATAATAAATAATGATTATTTCGAAGGAATATACGGAATCTCGAGCTGTGTCAAGTTTTCTTAGAATGAACGGCGACGACGACGACGACGACGACGAGCCCCCGGTAGTAGCCAAGGGCCCAAACGCGTCCCGAGGGAAACTTACTTTCTCGGCTAGACTTTCCAAAGTCTTTGGATATCCACGCTCGTAAGGTTGAAAGTGTTGTGCGGTGGCAGGCTTTGGTTGATGCGTGATAACCGGCGGAGGTGGTGGTTGATAAGACCAATGACCTTCCGGTCTCGAATTGTAATAAAGATCGCCGTTACTGGAACCCAAATCTTGACTCGATCCTAAACCAGTTAGACCTAATCGCGACCGAGAGGGCAACATTTCCCGTCCGTCGCCTCGCCTGCGACTGCTATCTCTGCTTATCGGGAAGGTAGTAAGTGTTATAGTATCGTTAAAGAGCTGAGGTTAGCTTTCAGGAGGATTCGTCGATACCTGACGTGATTGCTGGTAGCATGATCGCTCTCGTCTTCGTTCAATTCCCTCTTGATCACTACCACCGGTGGTGCTTTGTGCTCCACTTGACGACTATGAGAAACGGCTTGATGCGGACCGTGTCGGGTCGACAGAACGAGCCTCCTTGGTATCGACATAATGATAACGACGTCGTCTAGGCTCATATGCGTCACGTCCACTAAATTAACCGCGAGGATTTCGTCGCCCACCTGCGACGGCGACAAATGTACGATTAAATATAGGAACGGCTTTCGTCTTGTAATCGTTAAAGTTTCGATCGAATTGTCACCTTCAAGCAGCCGCTGTTATAGACCGCTGTTTCCAATGCTATCCTGGAGATGAAGACGCCGTCACTTCTGTCCATGCCATTACCTTCGCGTATATATAAGCCAAGCGTTTGACCCGGCCTTTTAATTATCTCAACAAAATAGATGGGATGTTTAGGATCCTAAAAGAGGAACAGATTGTTCGCAGAATCTCTGAAATTTCAATTGGTAGACGCTATTTGAAATACTCGACGAACCTGCATCGCGATAAATTTCTTGGCCGCCTCAGACGCTTGTCTGCCCATTTGTCGGGGTTCGATGACGCGAACGACCATGTCACCCCGTCGTTCCACAGCTTCGAGGGCCGCTGCTGTCGAAGCGTCATGATCGTTCTCGACCGTTTCGATCTGCTTGAAGATTTCCGAACTTATCCCACTTATCTGCAACAAAACGTCTTTCCGCTTGAGGAAGTATAACGGAGCAAGATCTTTTGGAGGATACGCTTATTGTGAAATCGGTCCTTTCGATATGTCCATCATAATTATCTTTCCTTATTCGTGTCTAAACTTTCGCTCGCGTTTAAAATTTATCTTTCGGTCCGATTTCACAAAGATCGACTTTGCTAATTTAAGGAAATGTCGTCTGTTAGAAATGATTACTTTTCGGAAATCTCCCTGGATGACTAAAGATGGTGGTTCCTTGGGGCGCAACTGGTTGGTAGGAGCCTGTCTCCCAGGACTTGCGCTTATGTCTGTCACTTCCACTCGACCCTCCTACGATAACACGGATTCTATAATTAATTCATTAAATCATGAAAATACTATCGTAATACGTACATCGTCTGCATGTATTATTAAACAATATCGTCAAGCGTATGGTCTAATCTCTAATTCTCGGTTGTGGGAAACTTCAAAATAATCTAATCCGTAAACTGTTTACTCGAAATTCTTTTTTCTTAGATTCGTCCAATCCCAATTGATATATTCTCCTTTCTCCTCTCGTAGTAACTCTCAATCTCTGCACGTTTTCCTACGAGGCTCGCGTAGGGTGCCATGCGAGGTGCTAGGATCGGGACGAAGATAGAGGAGAGACCCAGCCAGGCAGCAGATTTTTCTCTTTTCTCGGCTCCTTTTCGAGCTTTTAGATGTACAAGGTATTTATGTATGTTGAGAGAGGGGGGGGGCGAAGGATTATCTTACGGTAGAAGAAGCACCCCTTGTCGCACATCCTTGCCTACCCCATAACGGTTAATATGGCGGGAAGAAGTACTCGGAAGCGTAGAGGAGTCGCGCACGCGCTCCCCAACACCCTCTTTCCTATACTCTCGCGAGGGTGGGTGAGTATCGATCCGCTATGACGTCACCGTACAACCTCTTTCCTGTTTCGCGTCCGCCTTTTTTTTTTTTTCTTTTTTTTTGTCAACGTCTATCCGTGTCCTCGTTCAACGCCGACGGTTCCGTCTCTGATTTCCTTTCGATACATCTTTTATCCTCTCCCCCTTTACTCTTTCTCATCGAATCATCTGTCACATCCACGCGTGACGCCTTCCCTTCCTTCCTTCCTCTTTCCTTTCTCATTATTAAACGTACCACCGTCTTAAAATTAACGAAATGTTATACAACGGGATCAAAAAAAAGGATAGACTTTTCTCCGCCAAGAAATAATTTCGATTTTGAGCCCATCGTTGTCATTGATCTTTCGAAAAAAAAGAAAAGGGAAAAATGAAAAAACGAATGGTACGCCAATGCGCGTAGTAGTAGGACGTAAGTATCACAATCAGTAGTAAAACGTGGTATTAAGTAGTGGCAACGTATACGCAGGCGTACGCACGTACGGCCATCGAGGGTTGAAAAAAGGGGAGTGGCAGGGAGATCCAAAGACAGTAAGGGATAGGAGGTGAGGAGAGGAGAGGGAGAGCTGAGCCAAGAGAACGTAGTAGGATGAAAGAGAGAATCCTGCAATACGATGTCGGCTCGCAATCAGAGCGCCTGCGTTCTCGTGGACCTGGAAAGCTCGATTCAAGAGAACTCGTACACCAGCAGTTTGGCTGACGAAGTCAAGCCAAGGGAGGAAGTCGGTAGCGCTTGCGCCCTTAATTCCACGTTTACGCGAGTACGACGATGCACGTACGTTTCGAGTAGTAAACGTCTCTGCTTTTAGAAAAGACGACAGCGACGTGGCAGTTCTGGACAAGCGTTCTGAATACCTGCTTACCACGCAGAGTAGGCACCTACCTCTCTCTCTCTCTCTCTCTCTCTCTCTCTCTCCTACACGTATTGTGTGGATTTGTGCGTAGGCGGCATGTGCGCGGTGGGTCGAACCTTGGTCGACCACGTGTTTTTACGCGCGAACCCACACGATCGACCGACCGCGAGCGATACGCCATGCGATACGCCATGCGATACGCCATGAGATACGCCACACGATATGCGGCCGCACGCGTACTGGGGTATGCATACGATAAATACCTGCTCTGACCGTGAACGTGTACGTATACGTATACTTACCTATATGCCTTTCAGCTAGTTTCATTTTACCTGGCGCAGAATGTGCAGACGACACCACTTATGAGTTCTATGTAAAGATATACGAAGGTGTGCGTAGGTAGTATCCCTTCCTCTTTGGGAGGAAAAGAGCGGGTGTCGCCTAAGCCGAAGAGGCCAAGTTTCCTAATTAGCTCGCTAACGCTCCTAACTTTTCAATCTGATAATCCGGCAGTAACGATCGCCGACGGTATTGATGCAAATTGATAAGCCATCGGCGGCATCCGGATTGATTTTTATTGTCGACGATTTAAACGGGAGAGATCGTAGTTACAAGGATACAATTTGAAATTAGTAAGAATAGGGAGAAGGGGGAAAATCGATAATCGGTATTCTATAAATAAAAATATTCTTCTTTCTCTTTCCTCTCAACCTGGATAATCTTGACCTTTCCTAACGCGCGATGATTTTAGCGGATCACGAAATCTATTCCACGTATATACGTGTACATTTGTAATATTATCATTTTCTAAATGGAATAGACGTACCGCGCGATATGGAATAAAATATAATAGATGTTTCCCTTTCTATGCATTCTTTGTGTATCCTTTCTTGTTACTTTGCGCGATCAATCGGGCAAAGAGCCCCGAGCTCTGTTCATAAAAATTCGAAAAGTAGCATACGATACTCGGACTTACACGCTTATACACAAAGGACTCGAGCTCCCGTGCGAATCCCTCTCGATAGATACACGAATGGCAAACTCTTATGAAAGAGAAGAGCTTTGAAGGTAGACTAGAGAGAAAAGGCCGAGACAAGGGTACTTTTGACTCTGGAGACGAAATCGAATAGAGGGGGTCACTCGGAAGATATCGCCTAACAATCGGATCCGTTTTTCGAAGCTTTATCGATAGGCGGCGACGACCTTTATTCGGTATCGTGCCCAATCGTGCGCGAAGTACACATACCTATGTATCTGTAAAACCTCTATAGAAACCTATCGGAAAATAATGCACGGATATACTATAATCTATTCTATCCGTTTCCTCCGGGAATCCTTTTTCGCCTCGGTTAAGTCTTTAACGGTCAAAATATCAACGCTATTTCTTTTATCTTCCTTTGAAATAATATAAAACTAGGAGATGGTTTTTTAAACAGACGACCTCTCGAAGAGGCGTCTACGAGGCGTCTACGAGGGCCGTCTACTAGAGATGATGCCTCCGAGATGCCTGCGAGGCAAAACTTATTCTTAGCTAACGGTAAAAGTAATCACGTACATAACTTCATTTGCCAGCTTCGTTATTACGCCTTTTCTTTTTCCCCCTAATTTGATTTGGCGAGACAAGGTGACGTTAATAGTAGAAAATGAAATGCTATCGGAATGAAACGAGTAACAACTGCATATTACATTTTATTCGAGAAGGACATGGTTGCAACGCGAATGCATATACTGCAAATAAGATTCGATCTATGTTATAATATCTAGACAATTTGCAAGCACATTGATACGTTTGCTGAAATGAATTTTTCTGAATACCCTAGACCCCCGAGATATCGATTCGACGCGACGCGTTCTTCTATCCCTTGCACGATAGGATAGAGGGAGGGAAAAGCCTGGGAATAGTCGAGATCGGAGATACGTTTGTCGTCGCGGATAGATTAAAAATACGTATTATGCAATGAGTCTAAAAGTCAAATCCCGTTTGAAATATTTTCCGTATGGAACGAACGGACGAACGGTTTACGGTGATCTTGAATCGAACCACGACGGCGGAGCATTTGCGAATTCGCCAACGAATTGGAATGAAATTCGATGCAATAAAATGCGAGTGGTATATTTTAGGTTGCAGGAATCTCTTTCTGATATATTTCATCGAGCAGATCGAATCGGCTCTATATCTTTTCATAGATTTTCACGTGAAACCGGAGCCATGAGAAAGGGATGGAAAAGAAAAAACGATAAAGAGTAACGATCCAACTGCTCTAGTTCCGGTATGTGGAACGTGCAAGAGGGATAATTGCGGCCCAGCTGAAAATCAAAGAGACTTCTTCTTTTTCGTCCGACATTCCCCGCTTCTGCCCTATTTTGTTCGTTCTCTTGTTTTCCCGCTTCGGTGCTTTTTCCTCCTTCCCGACTAAAGGGAAGAGGCCGAAGGATGTCTAGGCGAGGCGACAATTAGCCCTCAATTATGCAACCTTCCCCGACGGGTTAATGGCGGCAGGGCTGTCTCCCGTGCACGAAGAAACAAATTCGCGAGCGGATAAAGAGGAATTAACGTCGAAGGCCACTGGACCGCTGATATAAAGAGGCTAATAAGATGGATAAGGTTGATGGGAGGTAATTAGATATTGATTTCGCATTAGAGTATGCCGAGATAGACGGCTGTTCATTAATGTGGGGCTTAGCGAAGATCATCGTTCGCTGGCCTGGTGGTACTGATGCCATTGATAGGGAAAGATCAATAGCAGATTTATTGTTTGCACAACAACAAAAAAAGGACGAAAAGGAAGAGAGCGTACAATTACGAAGGTACAGTCGGCGATTTGACGATACTCAAGATATTCCATCTACTTTGTGTGTCCAGCATTTGAAGCTTTTCCGCGAGTCGAGAGCGTAGTTAATGTAAAATGTAGGTATTCGCGAGGTCAAAGCCCGTTGTTTGATGAACGAACGTCCATTACTGCTTATTGCTGAATCAAAGATGTCCGTGCCTACTGCTGCTACTTCGAGTTGGCTTTGATCTTTCTCCCTGTCGGCCCCCTCTCCCTCTTCCTGCCACTAGTAATCAATCGTACAAGCCAAACAATGCATAGAAACATTGTATTATATACCTTGTCAAACGCCTTGCGTTTATTAACGCTTTCAACCTAATTAGGATTCAAAGATAAAGGTGTTTCAAGAAAAATAGTCACTCGTTGGACGAGTAGAGTAGTCTACACATTAAACCGCAAATCGCGCGTGGCATTCTACGTCAAGATAGAATTTGGGTCAAACTGAATGATTTACTCCTCGATCGAGGAATATTCCTATATTTCATTATTTTAAGTATTATTTTAAGTATTCCTACTACGTTCGATATCTATTTCCACGAATTCACCTGTGCTAGGCTAGACGTGGCGCTCTTGTCTATCGGATCTTTACGCTAGAAAAAGAATCGGACATTTTATGATTCGCGGAAATGCAGAAAAGATGGGCTGAAAAGATGGACTGAAAATATGGGCTGAAAATATGGCTGGAAATACTTCCGTTTGTTTACCATGTCGTTGTGCAATACGAGGACAAAAAGAGAAAAGTGGACGGAGTTGCGCTTATTAAAAGTGAAGAATAAAATTTGTAGGAAATAATGGAGGTTGAACACTCGAAATTATCCGAGTAGGAGAACTCGAGGTCCGTAACTGCGACGGTCCTCCTCGTCGCATAAATTGCGCTCGGCGCGTTCAAGCTTCGAATAACGAAGGTTCAAGTTGCAACGTCATTTGCTCTCGTTTAACTTTATTCTTATTTTCCCTCGACATTCGTTCGCGTGCAAATAATAAACCTAAAGTTTGCCAAAATTGTGCTGAAAATCGTGCTAAAGTGCGAAAAATAACATTCGAATATCGACGTTTCCTTCCGAGAAAAAGAATAAACATATAGAAAATAAAGATCGTATATCTTGTCAGAAGAATTTCGAAAACGAGTTCCTCCTTCGTCGAAGACCCTTATCGACACGAGCGTGTAATTAATTATACCGCCGAAGCGAACTTAGAGAGCCTCCTAATAGATGGTTACGACGTTCTTCTCTTGTCGTTGTCGTCGCTGCTTATTATGTTATTGCACCATTTGCAAAATTTTAATGGATACCACTCGGCCTCCTCTCTTTCATAAAAATCGATGGGTGCCTATGCTCTTCGTTTTTATCTCGAACCATTTAGATCTATTTCTTATTTTTCGTTTATACGTGAAATTTCACGTGTTCCAGCCGAGCCGTGCATGAATTGCAACCCAAAAGAACAACGCTGGAGAAAAAGGAAAAGAAAAAAGAGACAATTGTTTGTTCTCCCGTTCCCGGTTAGCTCTTGGTTAGCCGAGTATACGAAATGTGACGATTGCGTTTCATCCTGCTAATTTAACGCGACAAAATGAAAATCATCATCGTACATATATTGGGGAAATCCAAAGAAATTACGTAGCGAGTTTCCACTTAACTTATCGATACGATTTACAGTTTCAATTTAAGGACAATAATTTAGGAAGCAATCCTCCCCTATCTGAAAAAAGGTTAAAAGGGTGGCACGGTAGATTGGCGAACGTGGTAATCACTTACTTTTCTCCGGCCGCAGCAGAGCATGGCTGCTGCACTGCAATCGCGGTGAGCCGTAGAGGAGAGTTGAGGCTGATGACAGACGTAGCTGAGTCGTGCGCCCCCTTCCCGCTGCAGCTGCACCACGCGCACCTGCAGCTGCACCTGATCCCGATCCTGCTGTCCTTGACCGACACCGACTCGACCACCGTACTTGATGCGCACGTGTTTTCGCCACTGCATGAGTTCGGTGCGTCATGCCCTCTTCCTGGATCAAACCGCAAGAAGATGATATACGGTACCTTCAGGACTTGCTCCAGTTGCTTTCGAGTACGCTTCATAATCGATACGGGGAAGCAAATGCTGGGAGCAAATGCTGGGAGCAACTGGAAGGATTATCTCCTGGCGAAGAGCAAACTAGAGTAGACTTGTCATTTCATTCGATCTTTGGCATCTTGTCTAGATGGACAAGGAAACCGTCCTACATTTATCGCATTTCCTTAACCCACTTTCTATTCTTCCTTCAATATCTGATAGATTAATTCGTTAACCGTTATAAATGACACCATACGTTCGCACATATTGATCCTAAAATTGTATTTGCAAAAAATAAAAGTAAGCCGCGATCGATCGTGCGTGATCGCAAAGGACCTATCCTACTCTCGACGATGACCTAATAATAGATGCTCCAATTTTCTTAAGCTCTATTCATACGACATTTCGCGCATCCAGTTACGGTAATTCGTTAACGATCGATAAACCTCGTAAACCCCTTGAAAAAGGTCTGTTGTAATGTTGACCCCTTGAAATAAATTCATCTCGTTATATTCTATCTCGATTCGTTCGCTTTATTTCCAATTTCAAATATAAAACTTTCAAATAATCTATATATTTGTAATGGAAAATTTTGTCGAGTGAAAAATACAATTTTGATGTTTCGTCGTGTCTAGATATAAATGTTGCATAATGCATGATATCGCGATTCAGGGTAATGCATAATTTCATCCAATCCTTTTAATACGCGTTCTATCTGATGCACAACGCCATCGGATGCATTTAGAAAAGATGTCACTCGTTTGAAACGCGTTGCTATTAACAAATAAAAAACAATGGAAAGTAGATGAACATATATATCGGCAATAACTATACAAATATGGATTGATGATATCAGTTTCGTAAGAGAAATAGTAAACAAACAAAAATCATTAGAAAGGATTCGATTGATACGATAATTAGAGAAATTGAAGATGCATTTATAACACCGATCATGCATATAGAATCACTTGGATAATTACATATTTCCAGAGTAATCGATAAACAACGAGATACTCTGGGCAAACGTAAGTAAATGAATGTGAAGACATAATAAGAAATCCAAAGCAATGGTAATATAATAATCGTATACCTTCTAAAAAGCATTTCTCGCGTGAAGGACCAAAGTATCGCTGCACGACCAGTGTTTCACAGATTCTCTCATTCTGGTCCACGTGTTAAGATCTTTCTTCTCCTAAGCACAAAAGAAAATGACAGGATTAGAGCGATATATTTCCGTGCGATAGATAGATACTATATAGTACCGATCGATACTATCTCCTTCGTACGCCTCGCACAAATAAATATAGTACCTAGACGTCGATATACACGTACATAACACACGATACGCGCGTGGAACCGTACAATTATTATTTATCCAAACTAAAATTCCGATTGCGAGTGTAAAAGGAAGGAGAGAGAACTTTGTCCACGTGTTACTACTTTTCACTACTTTTTCTCTACGCCAATCAACACGTGTCTCGCGTAAACCTCTATATAGCCAGATCTTCTTTGCTTCCCCCTCTCCTTCCTCGTTTCCTCTCGTTAACTTTTCTACGGAGCGACGCGACGCGTTAACAGAATTTTCGCTGCTACATTCGATCGATCGATGAGAACATTCATACGAACGAACCTTATCGAAAAAACCTCGAAGAAGCATCAAATTCATTTTAACGAGGAGCTCTCGGTTGTACACCTCAATATCACGTGTATTCGATCTCGAAAGGAACGCTCGTAGAAATAAAAAACAATTCGTAGCCCGTACGCTTGTATCGTAAGCAAATGGAGCCGGTCTTCGATCGATAAAAGATATGGGAGCTTAAGGGTAACTGCCGGTAGCAGCATCAGCAGCAGCAGCAGGAGAGGAATGACTAGCATCGTCGGAGCACCAGCAACAGGGGCTGGTTCCCCGATAGAAATCGCTCTTGAGAAACGCGCGGTCAAAAGAAGGAAAAAGTGGAGAGCAGAGCAGAGCTACCAGCAGAGAATTGTGGTGGCGTGCCAGCCGATGGTCCCGGACCAACCGATCGATATACCCTTTTTTCGAGAGTAGCTTCCACCATCTTCCCTCTCGCTCCCATCGAGCCACCCCCTAATCCGTCTATCTCTTTTTCTCTCAGTTCAAAGAACGCGAGTATAAATGTAAAACGTAGAACGTAGAGGACGAGTTGATGCGCGCGCTCAAACGAGTCCACGTTCTTTTTTTTTTCCTTTCTTCCTTCGTTTATTAGTACGTTCATTTGTTAGTTCGTTCGTCGTTCACTTGCTCGTTCGCGCAAACCCGAACAAAAGAGGGTTCGTTGGATTATAAGGAAAGATTTGGAACGTACCTTTCGGAGAATCTCGTGAAAAAAAGTCGGGGGCCGCCCCGACTGCAATAATTAGCCGGGCCACTCGGTTGATTGCAATTAGGAGATCCTTTTGTCTCTTTTTCCTTTCTTCTTGCCGTTTCTCCTTGCCGTTTCTCCTTGCCGTTTCTCCTTGCCGTTTCTCCTTCCCGTTTCTCCTTGCCGGCGAAGGAACCAGGAGGAATCTTCCGCTTGCAGCTTTCTCACCTCGCCGTATAACGCCACGCGGGAATCAATACGCCCGCCTGCCTCGAGTACTCTCTCTCCTTCTTTCCCACCCGTTCGCCCAGCCCTCCCTCTCTCTCTCTCTCCCCCTCCCTCTATCTATCTATATCCCTTCCTCTTGCCCTTCCTCTTGCCCTCGCTCTATCTTCCTTCTCGTCTTCACAATTTAACCGTGTAGCCGGTGAACACTACCCTCCTCTCCCTCTCTTTTTTTCTTTCTATCACGTTTAGGGGCACCAGCCGATTTATAAGATCCTATCTCTATATTGCCTATTTCGCCAAAGTCCATGATATTCGTCGAGATTAATGGGAGGAATAGATGTGAAAAAGCAACGCACGGCGGCTAGGCAAAGGCGGTGGCAGAGGCGGAGGCAGAGGCGGAGGCGAAGAAAAAGCACTTTAGACGAGGGTGGAAATGACGATTCGAGCAAACCCTGTGCAACACGCCGCGCCGCGTAAGCACGACTACCCCCTATACCGACTCTAGTCACTCACCTAGACGGACATGTTGGATATCGCAAATGCGCATGCCGACGCCGGCGTACGCGGTTCCTTTATCGCGGGACGTGGTGGACAACGGACGAGAGTGAGGGCGACGACGTAGACATAGACGACGTAGACATAGACGAAGACGAAGACGAGGACGAGGACGAGGACGAGGAAACGAAGAGAGGGAACGCAACGACCAACCCAACTCGCCCCTTTTCTCGCCCTTTTCTCGCACCAATTCCATTGGAACGAGGCATACTAGCGTATACATATAGCAAGGTACTACGTACGCCGACTCGTGGCCTTTTCACTTGACCCCACCACCGGCGACCCGTCCCTTTCGCCCTTACATCGTCGTCTCTTTGTATCCTTTCGTTCCACGCAATAATCCCTTCGTGTCTTCCTCCTTGTCCAAAGGCTTAAACTCTACCTAGCTAGCATCTACGTTACGTGCCCAGCACGCGTCTCCCCGTCTACCCAAGGATTCGACGCGTAAATTCCTTTTCCTAGCTGTTCGATTGATTCCTTCGATCCATTCGAATAGACTCGATATTTCCTTTTATAGAGCAAGGACTTCCTCGATGATACTCCTCCTTTTAGATGCGAGTATTAAATCCAAACTTGAGTCTTTAAATCCTTCCTCCGATCCAGTCGTATATTTCTAATCTTTTCTCTGTTTTTTTCTCGAGTGTCTCAACCTTTCTAACGGGTCGACGTCTCTCTCTCTCTCTTTTATTTCCTCCCTCGAAAAGGAGAATCGCAATCAGAGGTCATTTGTTGCGCGTTGATTGCAAAAGACCGCTCGGGGGTTTGCCGTTAATAAGGACTCACCAGGAGATGTGCCAGAAAGCTTTGTTAAAGGACCGTGCTAGAGAACCGTGCTAGAGAACCGTGCTAGAGATAATTGATCGCCTTTGTAAACAGCTCGGTATAAATCTCTTATGATTGAAATTACGCTTTAGGAAATTGATCCAACTACTACAACCACCGAGAATTGCTAAATAAAATGCTCCTGTTTTTATCTATCTAAGAATCGATCTCTATCGAAAAATCCAACATTTCTAAGAGAGACCAATCAATTCTATTACCTTTTCTTAGAAGTTTGCAATTAATTTTATGTTTCATAGACAAAGTAATTATTGCGGAAGACGATAACATTGTTCGTTCGTATTAACACAACAGGTAAATTTATGACATAAAATAAAATGGCAGTTCTACGACGACGACGACGACGACGACGACGTGATTGGGTGGAATTTGAATAAATGCCAGACGGCTTTCACACCTTTTTCAATTCCTTCCTTTCATTCGTAACCTCTTCGACGCTAAAGCTTCGAAGCAACAAGGGCTGGTAGGCGAGCATTAGCAGCAAGCCTTAGCAACGATATATACTAGAAACATTCGTAAGCCACGTCCCAAATCGATTCCGCTATTCTCGATCGACGCTATTATTTTCGTATGAAAATGATTGATAGTAAAATCCATTTTGATTCATTTATTTGGATCTAGATATCTTGTAATCATTTACGCTAGGAAACAGCCACAACGCGTAATACGTGTAACGTAGTATTGGTGCAAGATAGGTATGTAAATCGATCTTCGTGAAACGGGGCAAAGAGTCGCGCGGGCAACGACGTACTACGAAATACTACGTTCTGTGATGCGGTGCAATTAAGCTCGCGCCATCCCGTACCATCACCCAACACCACCACCCAACGCCCACCACCACCCAACGCCCACCAACACCCTTCGAAGGGGCGCAAGTCCGCGTCTTCTTTTACCGCCCCCTACCGTTCGTTTATTCGTTCGTTTATTCATTCGTTCATTCATCGGAGCACCCCTTTAAAGTTCGTTGCGCTTTCTAGGACCAACTACGACTACCTAATGTGCGTCAATTATATTATTATTAACTCTTCCAAATAAATATATTTCAAAATAAAGAAATCTTTTATTCACCTAGAGATTATACCATATTGATAGATAAATGTTCCTTCAAATCTATGATTTAAGAAATCCTTCTTGACTTCACCAGGAATTCACCGTTGATGAATGCAATCCGAGAAACTGCCCTTCTTCTGCCCTTCTTCTGCCCATTTCTTTTCAAATAGCCTATAATATAAGAGAAAAGCGACATGAATGATGTAGCCAAAAACAAGAGACCATTTTTTTTTCTTCGGATAAAAACGAATTTTATTACTATTATTCATTGATAAAGAAACTTTCAAATAAATACAATGTACTTGTTGAATTATCATTAGGCTTTAATCATTTTATTAATAAATATATGTATCTATACAAATACATACTTACAATTATATCAAGTATACCCTAAATAATTACCACATGCCTGTGGTACCTGCCCATTCGATCCTGCTTTATCGTTACTAAACAACGCATTAAATCTAATCAAAGATGATTCTTTCTACATTAAATATCACATAATCTTTGAAAATTTGTTCACCACATTTTGTATTATAGACTCTATTAGAAATAATTCGTATGAAAATGATACTAGCAAAATAGACATGACAACTGATATAGACATAATCAAACTGATTTAAATTTGTACATTGGCAGTAAATGTCAACAACAAAATGTCTATAGATGATGCTCTCGTAAGCGTCTTTTGTTTTGGAGGGAAAATTCAAATGGAAAGTAAGATACTTGAAAAAGAATTTATCCATTACCATACGTACCGGCTTTACCAATACACTATTGCTTGTTTTACGAAATATTATTAAAAAAAAAAAGAAAAAAATGATCACCTTATCTTTAATATTTAGTCTGATTCTATTTAATAAGTAAAAATACTACTAACGTATATTTGACATTTGTAATTACAAGGTCTGCACTACTACGAGTCGCTATGATCAACCAAAATAACTTCTAAACTAGGTGCTAATTCAAATATCATCAGGTGTAGGATTTAGTTTATGGTTAAAACTCGTAAATGTTGTTTACCGATGTAAACATGTATTAATAAAATACTCAAAATATTAATAAAACTAACTTATTATAACCTATCTTGGAGAAATAAGTGAATAAATACAAAGATGCGACCACAAAAATTTACTCTTCCAATTGACCCTAAAACGTAAGTAGTTTTACGTATAAAAAAATTGATTTGAATAAAATAATAAAACTAAACAATATTGTGTGTAGATTTGACCACACAAATAAGAAGGTTGTTATCGTATCAGTATTTGGTAAATCTCGATATCATATGAAAGGATGTAAAACGGATATGCTGAGTTCAATTCTCCAAGTGGACCTTTTGGATGAGCCAACCGTAGATGAAACATCTATGGTCAAAATATTTCTAAACTAATATTAAAAGTCATATTGTATTATTAAAAAAGAATATAAACAACATTACAGGTTGATATTGAAGGATACTATAACGCTAAAGACAAAACTGTGTATCTACATCTACGGGGACTCTTGGATTCTCATACTCTTTTGTCCGAATATGACAGATTTGTAGAAAAACAAGATTGCAAAGACTTTCTCAGTGTATGGGCACATATGAGATTTAAATATGCTAGAGCTTTACTGGTGTTATTTCATATATCTCATGTTATAATACTTACTCATCCAACCCATACATTTGATTATAGTTACATACATTTATTTCGTGCCATGGATATAATACGGTAAGATATTATATATACGGTAAGATTAAATGCATGGAACTATGTGATGATACATGAATAAGATTATTTGTTTTCGTCGTAGTCAAAAAATTTCTCCTCAACTTTCTGATGCATTAAGTAGCTTATCTACTATACCGAAAGATTGGATATCAAATGCTAGACCTTGTTCTCCAAGAGTATTATTTTATTTTGAAAGTTCTCCTATGGTATTTCAAGATCCAGATAACGGAGGAAATATTAAGAAGTTGGAACATTCGTTGGAAGATCAAATTTATCAAGTTTTAAGAAAAAATCGAATAGTTACAAATATAAGGTAAAATTTGGATTGTGCATTTGTTTTCTTTTTCTCTTTTCTTTATTTATTAACATTGTTTTTCTTTTTTCATTTAGTTCAAACTCGTTATTTGCAATCCCAGCAAATCAAGAATTTGTATATGTACATAATGGTCCTACAGAATCTGGAAATATTTTGGGCTATATGATGAAAAAATTAATTCAAAGTTGTAAAGTTAGTTCCGGTGGTAGTACCTCAAGAAGTCTTGCTAGTTTAGAAACGAATCATGAAACGGATGATGCTGAAATTGGTATATGATCTTTCTCAATAACATATATATATATACACATACACACATTACAAAGCACATATTATTGCCATTTGAATAATTTCAGAAACACATTGTTTCAAATCATTCCTGCAACAACATATAAATCTTGCTTTCGGCAGAGGCTTCGATGATAATGTCGGTAGACATTCGGTACCTGCATATTTTGAGGTTGATACGAATTTTCTAACAAATCCAATTACAACGATCGTTGTTAATTGTATGTGCTTTATTAAAGCACAAATTTCATTAGAAAGTGATTATTTATGTATAAATATTTATCAATAGATACCTACATTAACGCAATTCTGTAATGTGATAAACAAAATTAGCGAATACTTTATATACGGAACGGACAAAGAATTGCTGTCTTTGCATAGTTCATTAGATACCGATGTTAAATTCAGTAAAAGTAGATGTAGCAAAGTACTCCCAAGAGCCTTACAAACTTATCAAGAAAATCTTCCACAACATTATACAAGGTAATCATTCGTATATATTAAAGAAAAGAAAAGACAATCGCGAATAAAATATATTCTATAGATTTAATTCCCTATTTTATTAGAGCATATCATGAATCTAAATTAGCACATGCTATGGGAGTTTTTGAAATGCATGCACGAGGTCCTTTATTTGAAGAATTCAGCGAAAAGTTACAAGCAGAATGCGATAAACATTGGCGAGCTGGACGACAAATGTGCGAAGTATTATCATTAACTGGTAATCCTTGCACAAACCCTATTCATAAAGGAGGCAGCGAAGGTGCCGGAGGTGGCGAACACCTAGAACCAGGAGGCGACAATAGGTCTTTTTCTTTCAGATACATTTATCTTTTGATCTTACACTTTGTGATATAATAATCAAATAAATATTTTCTCTTTACAGCGACTCACCAATCATGGAACACTGTAGCGGAGTTCGATATATCTGTGCTTGTAATTGTGGAAGATGTCAAGGACCACGAGAGGATCCTTTTAGTTTAAGACAGGCTAATTACGACTATTTTCAAATGTTAGCAAAGCAATGTGGCTGTACGCAATTAGAAAGTATACAATTTCCTATTTTTCAGCCTAGTACTCATAATTTTAGGTAAATTCTATTTCTGCTAAATAATATATCCTATCTTATAATATTATATATATCTTTGATTTTTTCTTAGAGCAGCACAGTTATTTTCCGCAACAAATCGTAAAGATTCACTTAGTAGAAATAATTTATCCACCCCTCTAGGTCAAACGCAACCTTCCAGTCTTGGGGTTGAAAATATTTTAAATGGTATTAAATACTCTAAATTTATATATACATAATATAATATGAATGACAAAAATGAGAAACTTTTATCAGGGAGAACTCGTTTACTGATAAATGTTGCAGATGACATTACAGCATACGAAAGTGGTGCACCCTCTCCATTGAAAAGTGATCCTACGGAAGAAGAAGTTCCAAGATTAAGTAACAAAACTAGTCTTACTCCTAGCGAAGGGCATAAAGTCGTTATAGAAGTATCCGATGATGCAGAAAATACCAAAGGTAATGAACTTTTGATTTTGTTTTTTTTTTTTACTAGATACAAATGTGCATGTACATATATATATATATGTATATATATATATATATATATATGTAATTAACAAACTATATATTAGAAAAAGCTTTGGTGAGACAGCCATCCACTACGGAATATCTACCAGGGATGTTGCATACGGAATCGCCAGCTGGATTATTACCGCAATTTTCTAGCTGGTCTCTGGTTTGTCTTGGCCCAAGCAGTTTGTACTCGCACAATTTAGGTTTACAACATCAAACAGGTGTACTGGCAACTTCTGCATTCCTTTTGCCATGGGATGTAACAGTAAGGTTTGTTAAACTAATTATTGTGCACCGATGTCAACCAATAATATATCAAAATGTAAAATCACTCCTAGAAGGATAATAAATTGATTTAATGGTTTAATAGATTAGAGCATCAAAAAGAAAGGGGATCTTTGTGGCCTACTATAAATGATCATAATGTTCACGGATATTGCCCAAGAGGTAAAAATTTTCAAAATCTTAATACGATCCGAGGTCGCAAATCCAAAGGTGGGAAGGAATTCGTTGTTAAGATATTTGTTGGAGTGGAATACGAATGTCCGAGAGGGCATAGATTTATGGCATCTGCACCTGACAAAGTTTTAAAGGCAACTGGCAATGGAATCGTAAAAGATAGTGGAAATAAAGTAACGTCAAGTACTACAGATATGCCTCTTTACTTTCCATGCCCATGCAGGTATATATTAAATATAAGCAACGTTTGCATTGTACATTTTAACAATCAGTAATACGCTCAATATCTATGGTCTATGCAGGCAAACGCAACCCTTAATAGCTCAACTTATGAGAATTCACGTTGTGACTCCAAAAGCCCCGGTTCACGTTACGTTAAATCCTCGAGTTCAACCAGGGCCTCCGCCGTGTCCTATATTTGTAACTGGTTGCGAAGAACCGATCAAACTTTCACAAAGTGCCTACTGGGTTCTCAGATTACCGTATCCTTCAAGAATAATTACGCGCACACCTTCGCGTATTTGATACATTTAATATTATTATAATACATACAATAACCTTAACTGTTTCTATCCATTTAGTTATGTATATATGGGCGAAAAGGGCCCATATTTACCACCAAAAGAACCAGTACCTCCTTCTCACGGACGATTATTGGCTGGCATGTATGGCATTAGTGAAGTTGTGCCAGAAAAAAAATAAGATTTTGTCACAACCGTTGCAAATTTTCAAACCTTTTTAAAGACTTTGATTATCTTATTAAATATACCAAAACCAGGTAGAGTGTAGCTAATTACACAATCGTTGTACAGTCTTTTTTAAATTATTAGCTAAATGAAAAAAACTTAAATTTAATTATATACTATACAAATATTGTGTATTATTTTATATATAAGATATATTATCAATTATAATTGTTTATTCCGAAATCTTAACTACATCAACTCTCTCTTTATCCTTAATATCTATAATGACCTGCAAATGAAATATATTTTAAAGAGATTTCGCAAGGCAATTAATTTAAAAATTGCTACTCACCTTTGCAGAAGTTCTTCCTTCAGAAGAGAAACGTAATGCATCGTTAATTTTATGAAGACCAAAAATCATAGAATGAAATGGAATGATGAGACCTTCTTCAAAAAATTCCAAGACTTCTTCTCCAGCTTGCCTATATAAATGTAAAATAAATTTTATTGTTAGTTTGAAGGTTATTTTTTCCTAATTCAATTGTTAAGGTATTTTTTAAATGTATAATTTCTAAAACATGTCAATACCATTAAGCAATACTTAAATGAGATATCTTGACAAAATTAATATAACAAATAGAATAAATATATTTATAATAAAATCTAAACTAATCAAAATATGCAACTTGCCGATAGCTCTCGGGTTCCTTTCTTCTATATTCATCGAGATTAAAACCAGTAATAGTGAAAGAACCATCTTCAATCCCAGTTTGTGCATCCATTTTGGTAGCAGCAGCACCAGCTATTACTACTCGCCCTTCATGAGAGAGGCTATAATTTCGTAAATGATCTTAAACTTACAATTAATACCAGATATAAAATTTTATACCTTCACGAGATAAATGATGTATCACCACTGTAAAATTATCATCGCGTAGTAAATTTTTCAACGATGTGCCACTTTTATATATATCAGTGTAACTAAAATAATGCATTTTTACACTAAATGTTTTTAAAAATACAAGTAACATTAAAATAGTCTATTTTATATTTGATACTATTGAAGACATCAGGAATTGTACCATTTTAGAATCTTCTTAAAATATTCACCGCCATCTCCATCTAAAAAAGCTTTGATGTTCTTATCGCCGGCAATTTGTTCTATGCGCTTTAACAATTTTTTTTCATTGTATTCTAGAGATGCAAATACACCCCTATTGCGAATAAGAGAAGCATCCTCGTTGTTAATACAAATACCTAAGACCTAAAAATATAAATGAAGAATTTGAGTATAAAAATATGGAAGGATCGGCGACTAGATTATACGTTGGTGCGAATATTACTTGTGATCTAAATACATTAGTAGCAAGATCAGCAGCTGCTAAACCTATACCACTTAATCCTACATTTACTAAAATTATATCATTTTCATCAATAGTCACTACTCTTTCCAATGCAACGAGTGCGCTCATATAATCATTAAGTAGACATACTGCATCCACAGATCTTAAATTTGATGGTATTTTCCAAATATCCTAATGAAAAAATAGCAAAATTATGTTTAGATTTATATATATAATAACGTTAGAAATCTGCGTTGGATGACATAAACTTACGCCGACTTCTGCTATGCATTGTTCCGCAAAACCCCCATATCGTTCTTTATTAAGTGCAATAACTTTGTCCCCAATTTTATAGCCTTTGTCCTGTGCATTCTTTCCTATATAAACTAATTCGCCAACAAGTTCATACCCAAGTGTAATAGGCAATTTTGGTTCATACGTGTACAAGTTTTTACTCAATAATACATCTGAAGGATTTATGGTGCAGTAATGAACATCTATAACAACCTGTAGAAATAATACAGGATGTTTTAAGAAATATAGAGCATGTAATAATAAACTATGTACAAATAAGTTACTTCGTTTGGTTGAGCTGCTTTGAATGATTCTACATTTTGTATAATCAATGAATTATCAAACTTATTCAAGCTGGCTATTTGAAATTTAGCCGGCTCTGAAGCCGGAATGTTCGTTTCGAAACTGTCATTAGGTGATCTTTCTTTTGTAGGCGTTTCATTACTTATTAATCTAATACTTTGCTTTCTTAAATTTTTCCAATAAATTCCAGAGACATGAGTGATAAACATTCGTCGAATCGTGACAGACATTTTTTAAACTCCTTGTATATAATTTAAAATAAAGAAAATATAAATATAAAATATCTTAAATATAATCTAAAAGAGTCTCTTAATCTAATATAAAAAGTCAAATTTCCGATTCTTATGCACATACGCGTATAGGTTACATTTACCTAATAAATAAACACTAATATTGTTCAATTGAGCGAATATATAAACAGTAAACGATCTTAATTGAAATATCTTTTTTTCTTTTCTATAACTTTGTATTAAATGTTAGTGCATCCACTAAGTAACCAAACTGACGAGAAGGTGATAACACGAATAAAGCAAAGAATAAAGAAGTACATAGAAGCTCACAAGTCCACTTTTCGCGTAAACAAAATCAGATTAGTTAGTACCGGAACAACCAGAGGGCGAAACATGTTGCGCATGCGTAACGTGTTCAATAATATTCAAAATAATTCATTCACTGGGGAAAAATATTATATGAATATTTTTATTATAAACGTATCAAAAAAGACTTATACAATAAATATATATATATAACAAACTTAACAATAATCTTAAAGAGGAAAAAGGAAGTAGTGACTAGTGTTCACGTCTTCGGTCGCTGTTAGTGAGTACCCGTGTGTCTCGCTCGGTGGTTGGGACGGAAGAGAGCGGTTTTTTTTAGTTATTTAGTTTCGCCACCAGAGGCGTGACGGCCACACATGTGTAAGAAGGAAATAACCTAACCTACTTAATCAATAAACCTTCTGATTTCAGCACACACATGTTTATATACTAAAAGTTAAATATAATTATTTAAAATATTATTACAATATAACTATATAAAAGACGCGATAAATAATTTATTTTTACAATTGAAAAACTATGTTACTTAAATTACAATTACTATTTATAGTAGTGCATATAAACAGTTCTACCTGTATATCACTGAATATTCGTATATTGTATATTTCTTATTATACGAGAAATGATATTAATTTAACGAAGTATAATTAAAAGTGCCAGAAGAATGACGAGAGCAAAACTCATGACCGGTGGTTGCAAATAAGCGGCATCTTTTTCCGTTTCGTGTCAATCCATTGCATAAAATACGCGGTACTGTATGCATCGGGCTAACACTAAAAAACACATAAATGTATATACATTAATATTTAAATATATTATAAACATTTACCTTCTGGATGAATTTGTAGATATATTTGTTTGATCAGTCGTAGAAACAAACTCGTTTATTCCTCTTAAACGATATCTAAGATCGTTTGTTGTATTTATGAAATCATTAACATCGTTAACGACATTATAATCTATATCTTTCGACGTATCCGGATTATCATCGTAATCGTAGATATCTTCGTGCGACTTTTTCGCTGGTATATATGAGCAAGAAAGTTCCTCTTGTATGGACGCATTTTGTTGACTCCATAAAGCTACCGAATGAATCAAACTTAAAGTTTTTACCAAAATAATAAATATATATGCTATAATTAAATTGTTCATAATTATAAACTAATAGATACGACTAAAATGATTATTAAAAATATTATAGAAACGGAAACAAACCTTTTAAACTATTTATTTTATTAAGTATTGTAATAAAAAAGTTGTAAATTGTCTTTATTATTAAAGACAGCATGAACGTTGTTTGAATATGATCAGAATCCAAAGATTCCGAAGGTGATTTTAAAGGCGATACATGCATACAATTATCACCATTACCACTATTTTGATTAATCGATCTAACTGGTTCGGTATTGTGAAATTTGGATTTCCAAATATATTGTATGCCATTCATCAAAAAATGCACTAGCAACAAAAAATGTAATATTTTAACACATTATATATAAAATGATAATAAGAATAAATTATTTATAATCTAAATATTTGTTCTTACGAAGGCTACTCACTTCCTGTTATTAAAAGTATTAATACAGTGATAGAAATAAAGTCAAGGCAGGCCTCTAAACCATGTTTTAAATAAGAATAAAGATTTAAAGGTACAATGCCCATTATAGCTGCTCTGGTCCAAAATGGTGCATTCAGAAATGCAGCAGTTATCATGGCAATTAATAAATATACAATATGCAAAACCGTGCGATATACTCTTTGTAATTGTTCCCCTAAAAATTTCCAATTTTTCCTTATAGTTGTATATTTTAATTGAGATATGGGGATTAATATCATTAAATAGTAAATTATCATACCGGTATTTCCTATATAGCCTATAATCCAATCTAGTTGGCGAATTGTCTGTTCTATTTCTGTACGCATATTATTAGTAATATTAGAGATGAACTGAATAGTATCATTAATATGTGCCAATTTTTGCATCATTTGTTCGTACTGATCGACAGCTTCCTGATGCCGATCGAGTATAAGAGTAGTACTAGATTCTATCTTTTCCCAAATTAAATGTGCTCGATTACGTATACTTGTTAAGTCGTGTAATATCTCTTTATGACTTTCCCCGTGTACGGCAGATTGTTTAACAAGTTCCTTGGTTGCGTTTTCTTAAAAATATCATTTTAACGTAACACTTTTAATTTATATTTCTTGGATAAAAATGAAATTAATTGAAAATAGTATCTGTTTACCTAATTTTTTTTTCACATCTTCCACCATGGTTGCAATTTGAGCATGACCTAGACGAATCAGTGCTTTTTCGTTATTTAAATTTTTAAGATTATTAGTTACCATCTTATGAGCAGTCGTTTGAGCATCTTTTAGATTTTGTTGTTGCAGTAATAATGCTTTGTTACCATCAGATAAAGAAGACAACGCTTCGCTTGTCTGATCCACCAAACGATCCTGACTTTCCTAATAATAGCAAATCATAAAATATATTAATTGTATCTGTTTAAATCTCAACAAAGTATTTTACTCATGCACACCTTCAAGGATATTAACGTTTTAATTTGCGAATGTGCAGTTTGCATCAATTTATTGACCGTTAATTCAGTAAGAGCACGAAATTGTGTACTTCTAGCAGCATAGCAAACTGCTCTAGCTCTATTACTCATCAAATGATACGCATTCCATGTATCTGTATCCATATCTGTCGTGCATTGTTTAAGAGACTAAAGAAAAACATAGAATAGTTGTAAGTATCTTACGTGTAAAAGATCTTCTAATTGAGATTCAGCTTTGCTCGTATTAACATGTAGATGTTTTCTATTATATATTTTATAACATTCTCCATAATAAATGAACAAAGAAGAGTAATATATTATTAGCATCAATTCCATTGGATATGATATGGATAGCAACAAATAGTAAAACTCAATAAAATCTAGAAAAATAAATTTCTTTATATGGAATACTCCATACTATGTCAACTATAGAATCTTTGAGGTGGTCCCATCTTATATACATATAGTTATGTAAGTAGGAGGGAGAATTGCAGGTTTGAACTTGCATAGGAGCACCCTTTGAAGAATATTACAATACTACTATCACATTAAATTACACTTAAGTATTATAAGTAATCAGATAATTCATTGAATTTTAGACAAAATGATGAAAAAAGAAATGAAGAGAAAATCTTTACCATCTCTTCTGTACAGGGAAATATTTTCCTTCCTTCTACTGCCGATTGACAATTCAATAAATTGACACTCAATTTGGCAAGCTGTTCCTCATTCATATCATAGCAAGAAGTTCTTATTTTCATAATGACTTTATGTTGACACGTTTCTAAAGGGGATGAAACTTGAATGTTTGTAAGCTTTGCAGCTTCTTTTAAAAACTTTTCATCTTCTGTCATAGTTTCGTATGGGATTGATATCAAAGGTGTGCCATCGGCAATCAAAAAATTTGTAGGAGCCTCCGGAGGAGGTGTACCCCATAACCAATTAAATAGTGTTACTGCATTTGCTTCATTTATAATTAATATAATCATTGAAATCCACAAGTATACATTGGCCATTTTATAGCAATGTCTAAAAAATTCAAATTAAAAATTCAAATTTTCAATTACACTTCAATTAAAAATGAACCTGTCGACGAGATTGGGCATTTGTAAATTACTATTATTTTTAATTGATCAAATGTGAAAGATTCGTAAAAGAAATCACATTAAAAAAGTAACAAATTTATTTAGTGGTTTGAAAAATGGTTATTGTATGTAGATGAAACAATTTGTTTTTACATTCATTTCACTATACATAATCTATATTTTTAATTCTAAATATTAATTTGAACTTTTTTTTTTATTATTATCGATGAAAACACGATGAGAAATAATTATTTTCTTTAATATTATTGCTTATACACTGTATGATATGTTTAACGGTCATAACCGATTCAAATGTTCTTATGTAGCTTATTTCTGGCGGGATATAGAATTATACTATCGAAAATGATTAGAGAAAGGTGGGCTTCTGGTAATTCACCAATTTACAGATATCTTATATTATTATAATTACATAATACGTATCATATATTTATTTATAAGATAATCAATTATTATAATTAGAAAAACGAAATGTATACTAAAAAGTTAAATTTATTTTCAAGCATAACGGGTTGAGAACCAATCAAATGAAACAAAACTCAAATTGTACAAATCTTTAGATTGTATTCGTAAAACTAATTTATTTATTTGAAAAAAATAATTTATTTGATATATTTATTATTTTAAATATATTATTGATCTAATCAATAATTTTATTGTAGTCATTTATTTAAACAGATTTGTTGTTTCATTTTTATTTCTGCAAGTTGGCAATCCTTGTAAGAAAAAAAGTAATCGTTTCTAACGACAAAAGAAAATACACATAACGAGATGCGATATATGACTTGTAATTTGTGTTCATATGCACCAATGTCCAAATAGGAATGAGTTTCTCCTCAAGTATGCAAAAATTGTATGCTGTTGGTATTAAAAAAGTGACTCATACAGGGAATCCCCTGTTAACTTCGCAGTTGAATTATACAATTTGATATTACGTTTTATTCGGAACAGTATAATAGTGACAGTTGTCAAAGATCAAATCAATCGAAATGAGTGAAGATAATCGTTTATGGGTAAATATAATGTTCAATATTTTAATTTTATATATATTTGTGTGAAATAAAGATATGCACAGTTAAATGTTCAATCATTTAAAAATTATTTTTTGCACTAGTGATAGGTTATGGCTAATTATTTTTGTTCATATTCATTATTGTTTTTTTATTTATCCAATTTACTCAAAATATCTGCAATGTTTAAACACAAGTAGATATGAATTTATAAAAAGATAATACGTTATACTTAAATAGTATGATTATTTTATATTCTTTGGATAGTTTATAATATGTTTTGTTCTATTTTGAACAGCACGAAATGGTATCTTATGCCATAGAAATCCAGCAACAATATTATGAACTTCTTTCTGATTGGACTAAATATGAAATGCAAGATTATGATATATTAAAACAAAATATTGGTTATGCACTATTTGGCCCTCCCACTGAACCATGCCAAGTCGATAATATGGAAAACAATACAATTGATTCTAGCTCGGTAGTAAGCTATGTTTTAAAAAATGCAGAAGAGTTAACTAAAGTCAACGAAGGAATACATTATAAAAAAGATGCTATGAGATTGATATCCTTAATATTTGATCAAATAATTGAGTATGGTAAGCAGTCAGATGAGAGTATTTTTTGCGGAATCATTTATAATATTATATTTAACGTACCAAAAGAGAAAAGAGAAGTAAGTAATCAAGAAAATGCAGATATTGATACGGAAAAAATTATGAAAGAAATTCAAGCTGTTCCAATATTTAAAATAAAGAATTATTGTACAACGAGTTCAACTGAAAATATTGAATATATAGACAATAATGGCAGAGTATACAAAGATTGGATCAATTATAAAACTAATAATACCTTGCCCGCTTGTGTAATGGTACTACCTAATGAAGGCTTTTACCAACCAAATCCTGAATTTTCAATAACAGAAATATGTTCTACAGTATGGGTAGAAGTTTGTTTCTCACCAGCATCTTCGTTAAGCGCTCAGTTAGTTAGCGGTGCAGATACTGCATCTACCATTTTAAATGTTGGTGGTCTTGGAATTGCGCTTGCATCATTGGTTACTCCTATTGGACCTGTGGTTGCATTAGCTGGTAATATAAACATTAAATTGTGAAATATTATTATTATTATTATTTAATATTTCTATTTATAATATAAATTGTTTTCAATTAAATATAAAGATAATTTTTCTTTAAATAGGAATAGCAACGACAGGTGTTAGTAGTGCTTGGACCTTTGGCAGATCTATATATCAGTTATATGATCGTAGCTCGCACAGAGAATCTGTTAGTCTTAGTAATAGAAACGCCCTTTCAGCCTGGCTTGGTATTGCTGGATGTACCATGGGAATAGCAATGAGTGGTGGAAGTATATTTCTTTCAAGAGCTGCGCAAGCTGGTCGAGATATAGGATTAGTTGCTAGAACAGCATATAATACAACAGTAATATGTAATATGTCCATTAATCTCGTTGGTCTGGGATATAATGGATTTAATATTGTCGAAAAGTATCAGAACGAGAATAGGATCGATTGGAGCGATGTTTTCTTCTTTACAACGCATGCAATGTTCTTTGGTAATACTATATTAGGCATGCAATTTGCCCATGACGTTATTAATACTTCTCAAGGTAATGTTATGAGAGACTACGAAGCTACTTTGCGGAGTAAACGTCATCGTAAAGCGTATAATCGTATAAAACGTAATGCAACATCAGATGCAGAAGTAGTACGTTATGTTAGGAAAGTTCAAACAAGAACAGAACTTTTGTCTTCTGCGAATAGTAATCAACCGAATGGTAGTAAATCAAATGGTAAGCAACCAAGTGGTAAGCAACCGAATGGTAGTCAACCAAG